TTTAAAAAGTTATCGGTGTGATCATTAAACATGATTAACTGATTATTTTCATTTCCGTCTTCCGTAACCGCTTCTCATTTCGGGTCGCGGAAGCAGATGCATCATCGTGCTTCCCGACCTTGTGCCAGAAGCCAGTACGGACTCCCATATATTTGCACCAGGTTAATCTTGGCCGTCCCCTGGGCTTTCGCCGACCGGTTTGGCCAGAAAGAGTTGCTTAGCCTTTTTTTCGAGGCATTCGAAACACATGCCCAAACCATCGCAGCTGTGACTTCTCAGACTGGAGAAGCAGAGGCTGTACACCAAGGCTTTCCCAGATGTCTGTATTCCGGACCATATCGAAACGCCAGCGACTCGCCTAAAGAAAGCCCATTTCAACAGCTTGTTCTCGGGTTCGAAGATTTTCATTCATGGTCCACGACTCGTGACCGTAGGTAAACATGGGGATAAAGATCGACTTGAACACCGAGAGCTCAGTTTTGAGACTGAGCTCTGCTTTAGTCACAGCGGATCGGTTTAATTCACGCAGAACGTCACTGGCTACTCCATTTCGTTGGTTGATCTCTTCCTCAGACTTTCTATCACTAGCGAACACTACTCCGAGGTATATATGTATATATATAGGATGAGACCGAAACTATGGAGATAATTTAATGAAGTTCGTTAGACAAGTTCGTAAAAGCACAAGATAGGATCTAATGATTACAGTTAAGAAGACTTATAATATGCGAATAATTAAATTCTTAAAGTATGATGTTATTATTTTTTTCTTGAAGTTGTGGTGTACTGTAATTGTTTGAACTTATGATGCGAGTTTCAACTGTTTTGAAGTATCGTGTTAATTTTTTAGAACTGATATGTGTGATGGTCGGACGTTGACATCAAAGTCTCTTGTTATTCGTTAAATGGTTTGTTGTTCGGCGCATCTTTGCATTGGAGAAGTCCAATTGCCCGTTGACGACCACGTTGTTGATTGCGTGTTAAGCCGCGTATTCATTTGGTAAGTCAGAATGATTTGTCATAGTTGGTAGTTATGACGGTATTTATTTTAAGCGACAGTGACTTGATCAAACTCGCAGAGAAACGGCAACATGTCATTGAGCTGTTTTGTGAACGGCTGGTGACAAAGGTTTTGGAAAACGAACTTAATCCGGTGACTGCCATCTCTCGGTCCCCATCGGATATACTCCAAGAAGTAGTGATCTCCTTGCTGTTGGACACGCTTGTGCGTACAGTGTGTCGACGATCACACGAACAGGTTGCCGAAAACAGCAGTGATATAGAGTTAATGAAGTCTCTCGGGCTTCCTGAGAGATTTGGTTCGAAGAAGGACGAAATCTATAGAAAACGGAAGAAACACCGAAATGGTGCTCGTCATCGGCGAATTATCTCTCGCCATGAACAAAGAGAGGAAGGGAACGAAGAAAGTATGTTGGCCGTTAAAGATGATGCATTGTTTCTACCGGAAGAGTGCTCAGCTGTAGCTAATTCCGTCGGCGAGTCGTCACCGACGACGACTGCAGTAAATAACCCAAACGACCAGTGTTTGTCGTACGTTCGACTAAAGTCGTGGGTGAAGAAGTTCGGATCCCAGTTGAGTGAACACGGAAAACAGGAAATATTTGCTTCTCTTGGCGAGTTCCAACAGCCTGACGTTTCTTTGCCATTTGCGTTGAGCTTCTTAGACAGAATCGTCACCAAGATTATTGAAAATTATCCGGATTTCACGAGCGATCATCTCAGCACGTGGGAAGAGATGTGGGTGAAACACTGCGAATTTACTTTCGAAATGTTCTGCAAATGCGCTGTGACGTCGACTGAAGAAACGACGTCCGATTCAACAGCTAACAGCAGTTGTGGCATATGCACGGAGGACGCTTCTTTTGCACCAGGTAATTTAGTACATCAGCTGGTACCATTCGATCAGTCAGGTTTATGTTTCAGCGGTTGAGTGTAATATACATTGTGAAATGGGGCCAAGGACATAGAGTGCTCCCACCCGTAGCGCGCTCATTCCATTTTTTAATCAGCAGTTTAAAAGCAATTAATTCACACAGTTTGCACAAGCCGTCTACTGTATTATGATACAATTATTTCTGTCTGTTTCAAATACGCTTCTAAGGATGATGTTGTGCCTTTAAGGTCGTATTTAGACGGACGTTCATTTGTTGTGTCTGTTTTTGATTTAAACTGTAATTCCTCCTTATCTCCACGAGTTTTCAAAACCCACTTGAACGCAACTCTACACACAGTTTACTCGTTTCTTCTTGTCCGGTGTCAAATGCTCTTGTAGGAGAGATTGTATTAACCAGTTAAAAACCGAGAAGGCGTTCGGCAGAGTAATGCAGTATTGTCAAAGTTATTTAGAGCGACCCTAAATGAGGTTTCAGGACACTCCGTTAGAAAAATGAGAGGCTGAAGATAAATGAGCACTTTTTAATCCACTGGCGGTCTGCCTACAACATTCTGATGCTCCTAAGGTCATGAAAATGACTCAGATAAAGAATCCATGCTTTACATGATGGCAGTATCAAAATATAATTGAAAATGAACCTGAAGAGATCTTAGATCTTATTTAGCAAATATAAATATGCGATCCCGCGATCTGTTGAGGTCAAGAGACTTAATTTTGAAGAAATGCAAAATTGCGTCTATCAAAAATAGCTCATCTCTGCAATGGAAAATTGACTCTGTGAAATCAATAGAAGATAAAATGGCATGGAGCACTTTCGGAACACTGAAAATGTCCCTATCCGCTATGCTGCCCTTGTGCGTGAAGCGGAAAGTTTTCCAGCAGTGTGTGTTCTCTTTGCTAATCTATGGATGCGAAACGTAAACCGTAGAAATGAAAACTATTCATAAACTGCAGACTACGCAACGCTGGATGGAAATAAGTATGTAGTGAATAACATAAAAAGATGGCAAAACTTATGAATGAATGCGCAAGCAGCCATCTATGATCTTCTATCCGAGTAAAGAAGTTAAAATGGCGCAGGATACGTTGCAAAGGGAACCGAACAACGCTGGACCATAGGGTCATTCGTCTGGATTCCAGATAGAGTAAGTTGCCCGTAGGAGACCTTCATATCGATGGCAGTTGGCTGGATGTAGATGGACAAAAATCACAGAAAATATATGTTTGTGGCTAAGTCTAGGACAGGCCTTCATCCAGCAGCGGATTGATAAAGATAGCTGCTGCCGATAGGTAGTAAGCAAGTTTGGTTGTCTTTCAGCATATATTAATGTACTTATTGATAACTGTCAGATAGAGAATTTTGTTCATGTGTTGGGAGGCATACAGAAAAGCAGAAACGGTTTTAAACAAAAAATCGGTTTTATTCAACATATCGCAACAAGATCAACAAGATAGGTCTAGTGCATAAACAGATGATATGCCGCGATGAATTGATGATATTTTGGGAAACTACTTTCAGTTGTTGAGGTCTGAGAAGGACTGAATAAAGAAATAGGCATGCACACTGACTATTAGTACATTTGGTGAGCTTAAAATTTTCAAATTTTTCTGTAAGACTGCTTACAAATGAAGATTTTCTAGTGTCTGGTAGTGACGATGCTCCTGAAGAATATCCCATAGAACGGAGCTCTACGTTGGTAGATGTGGAAGTGCCAGAAAAAGTGGTCTCACTTCCTCCATCTTCTCACTCGGATAGGCGAATACGTCAGTTGAAGAAAGCACAACGACGATTAAAAAAATTAAACTTCGTTTTGGGAAAATCTGATGTCGAGTCGGTGGTATGTGTTTGAAGCTATCGTTAGTTTATTCCTAACGTTTAGTTGTGAAGAGTTAACTTCAGAACGTCAGGTGAAAATGCTCGTAGATCACGGCACCGACGACTTGTCCTTAGATGGGAGTACAACGGTCGGTGATTTTGGTAAAATGCCGTTGTCCAAAAGGCGGTTGTGGTCATCAGGTTTTCGGTTCGATCCCTTGATGGACTCTGCGCTGTTAGCCCAGAGATCGATTGTGCGCAGATCGCTGAGAAAATATTGGATGCAGCGTTACAGATTGTTCAGTAAGTTCGATGACGGTATCTTGATGGATGAAGGTACGAACTACAGCGCATATTCATTGGTTTGATAATCTGCCATCACGTTTTTCAGAAGGATGGTATTCCGTGACGCCTGAAAGGATTTCTGAACATATAGCTGAGCGCTGTCAATGCGATGTCGTCATGGACGCGTTTTGTGGGGTCGGAGGAAATGCGATTCAGTTCGCAAAGTACTGCAGTCACGGTACTCTTTGGCGTAGTTATAAATTATAACTTTATATAAATAAATATTACATATCTTACACGAATCATTCTGGCCGCAACACGTTGTGTCGTTGTGTTGTAATGGCACACGAAGTTTTGCCACCCCCTTGCAGGGCTGACTTGTTTAATGCATATAATATAATATTATATATAAAGGACAGAAGAAATTTACAAACAGTACATCTCATGAAAATTTCATGAAACTGCAGCTGCTCTCGTCGAATACCAGAATTCAAAGCCGTAGATACGATGGAGGAAGACTATG